ATGAGTAATCTCTTTAGAGCACTGCAAAGACCACTAGCTACATTTTTAAGTGCATCGCAGCAAGTGACGAAAAGGTGTTACGGTAATTGTAACATTTTCAAGATGGCGTTTCCTGCTTGGGTTATTTAATTTTCTCCATTTCCTACAGCCGCGCCATTAAAGCGCTTCTACAAACAAACATCAGTACTCTACAATGACGGGAAGTACGAGGTAACTCTGGATAACCGGAAGTTAAAGACCCCGAATGGTAAATTATTCACAGTTAAAAGCGAACCGCTAGCGATAGCTGTAGCTACAGAATTCGATGCACAAAAGGAGCATATTGAACGTTCGAAAATGCACTTGTCGGCGTTGTGCTTCACCGCTATCGATAATCCTAATAGACACACAAAAACGGATATGGTGAATTATTTGCTGAACTACATCGCAACTGACACAGTACTATTTCAATATGATGTGAGTAGAAAGCGATTACTGCATTGCATTTTAATTAAGTTAAATTCCGCCTTTAACTTTCAGGATGAAAAGGACTTACATGACTTGCAGCGCAACGAATGGGACCCCATAATAAAATGGTTCAATGAGCGCTATGGCACAAACTTGGAAAAAACAATGGTAATATCGCCGCCTTCCATAAGTGCTGATGATAAAATGAACGTATCCAAATATTTGCTATCGCATAGTGAAGATGTGCTCTTTGGTAAGTGTAGAATTGAAGCGTTTATGTGTGTTGGCATATTCTACGATTATTATTTGATGTATTTGCTTATCCCTCCTAGGTTTTATATTCGCTGTGGACACTTTGAAATCTGTTGTGCTAGCGTTCGCTGCAATTGATCAGCGCATAAGCGTTGACAAAGCTGTTTCTTTGGCACGTTTGGAGGAGGAATATCAATTAAAGTTTTGGGGTCGCGTCGAATGGGCGCATGATTTGAGCCAACAAGAGTTACAAGCTCGCTTGGCCGCCGCAGTGCTCTTTGTGCATCTCAATCGCTCAGAACATTTTGTGAAGGAAAAGTCAATAGTTTAATGAAGTATTAAGGGTTATAGCGAAAATAAAAGTACATACATAAGTTGTTAGCAAAAGTTGCTGAGTGTCCCTGAAAAAAAAATTAAAAAAAAAAACGGACAACATCAATCAACTGAGCAAGGTTGGCGAGAACTATTACCAGTAAAAATATAATCCATCAATCAATAGCATATATTTAGTTGATTAAGATCAAGAATTACAAACAAGTCAAACCAAATGCATTTGGTAAGTGGCCTTAGAAATTATTAATTTTTTATGTTTATATTTTTACCATTTTGTTTTTGTAGTTGTGGAATCAGTAGTGGCCTCGGTTGGGTAAAGTCGTTGTTATGCGACATAAAAATTCTCCAGATTTTTTAGGAAGGAGTATACCGTTAGCTTAATATAGAAAGTCCCTATCTAAAATTTTTGTTACATTACGGAGTGGTGAAAAAAATCCATACAAAATCAAGTAGTCTCGCTGCGTATTTCTTTTAAATGCAGTTTTTACTCAAGAATGCAAATAATTGTATGCTGCAGTAGATATTTTTAAAATCCAGTTGGTGCTTAGTGAGTTATCGACAGACTTTGGTATTTGAAAAGAAAATGAGTTAGGGCCTTTCTATATTAAAGTAACGATAGGTAATTTATGTATGTATACATAAATATTTCAGTACAAAACACTCTGTTAAATAGCATTTTCGCTTCAAAAGCCTGTTCAAAAATTATTTATTACAAGGTATCCTACTGAAGTTATTGTATCAACATATTTCGGCAGTCATGGGAAGGCATCCAGAGTACTTAAAATCGTTGAAGGGCTTATGGCTGTTATGCTTAGATAACCATCTCCGGGCTAAAGCCGCAATCCCTGCTAATTTTAAACAGTCTTGAGTTGCTGAACCATTTTTAGTTGTTTTTTTTTTACAATCAGTGTTATTTTAAAGGAATGGAGAGAAGTATTTGTAATTTAAGGGAAAGTTAAACTATTCGTACGTTAAATTCAAATTATTAATCTAGCTTTTATTGCCGGTTTATGAATTTGCTGAGTGTTTGTTGTTGTTGTTGTTGTTGTTGTTGTTGTTGTTGTTGTTGTTGTTGTTGTTGTTGTTGTTGTTGTTGTTGCTGTTGTAGCAGCATACAAGCTCCCCAAAGAGTTTTTGCTGAGTGCTTGATGAGTATTCCTTTGTGTCGATTTGGTACGTTATGCTATATGTATTAGCTTGGCTGACCCATGAAATTTCACATGTACCCTTATTTGATCCCTGACGGTACCAAAAAAGTAGAAACCTAGGCTTGATACTTTTTCATAATGCTCCTTTTTCCACAACTACCTAGTTCCCTTACATTACAATTTTGTTCCTTGAACAGCGAAGCCATGGTGACTCGGTTGCGATCATCCGAGAGCTGGACATTGACATAGAATATGTTCTAAGTGTTATATTTTCGTCACATGGAATGTATTTTTGATTCTGTGACAGAATGAATTTGCGCGCAGGATATAATGGGTGACAGTGTACCGAAGGTACCCCAAATTCTATCTTGCAATCCAGCCTTAGAAGTGTTAGAATATGTAGTTTTCGCACTGGAAGAGCGAAGAATGTTGACCTTGATTGCCCTGCAAGATGCTAACCTTTACCTCGGGTTTGGCTAGCATATCACAAAGTAATGACTGTTATGCAGATCATATTGTAGTGGAGAAGAACGGCCCATATCACACCGACCGTTTTCCTGGTATGAAGCATTGGAGGCCTTCCTAAAGCTCTTTTGGTAAATTGTTTAAGAGATAGTATAATATTTCCTAGCTTAGAGATGTGTAAGGAGGACAATTGAAATCTTGTCTTGTTTTGAAGTATTTCACTCATCGCGCTTAGACATCTATCAGAGATGGTAATGCCCAGCTCATAGTACAAGCTGTGAATCTAAGAGCCCTATCTCATATCTTCACAATAACCTGGAAACTAGTCGAACAATCTGAAACCCTATATCAGTGTAGTGGCTGTAATAGGGTCTTGTTGTTGTTGTTGTTGTTGTAGCAGCATACAAATTCCCCAAAGACTTTTTGGGGAGTGTTGCTGGAGTGACAGTCCTTGGCCAGATATAAATCTGGGTCGTTCCGGTTACGTAGACCCGACTGTCGTGGGAACGGTAATAGGGTCTTCTTCCTGTTTGGTGTAGTCAGGAATATGAGATTCTATCAGGCATCCAGCATCTCCCTGCTGTCCTTGCTCTATTCTCTTTCCGTAGCTGTTATGTTATCGCAAGCGACCTAGCAAGAGGCTTTCGCAGTCTTGACGCTTCAGAAGTTTTTTTTAAGCCAACACAGCAGTTCTGATAGAAACCTCTTTCGGCACTCCTTCTTTCTTTCTTATAGTATGAGAATAGCACAGATTTGTACTCTCTCCAATACTCTTCGCAGTCGAGGTGTTTTGCCAGCTTAAAGAGATCCTTAACCTCTCTTTAATGCCTACCCGTTTCCTTGTTCCAGCATGCGGGGTTGAATCTTTTCCTATGCCCCGGAGGTGGACGGGATTTGACGGAAGCCAATAGCATCGTTGAAGTAAAGATTTCTGTTGCTGACTCCACGACATAACTGCAAGTAGTTTTCCAGTTCTTTTGTTTTAGATAGTATTACTTTCTAATAAGTTGCCTATAAAGCAGGGACCGAGAGCAAAAGGTATGATCGAAACTAAGTGTCGTTCTCCTAGTTTTGTTCCGAAGAACGTTTAAAAATGAAATGAGAACAAAATTTTCGGGAGTGTTTTCACAAGAACGAAAGTGACAACAAAACTGTCGAGAACGTTTTTATGGGGAATTTTATAAGAACAAAACCCATTGGAACGTTCCCGAAGAAAACAAAATGCTACCAATACTTTAGGGAACGTTTCTAAGAAACTAAAGTCTCCGGAATGTTGTGGCAAAGAACAAAACGGGAAGAAAAGTTTAAGGAACTTTCTCTCGAAGCAAAATTTAGGAACTAAAGTCTTAGGAAGTTTCTGACGAAAGCAAGAACAAATCTCTGAATTATTAACGAAGAATGCAAGGAAAAACGAAACTTCTCATAGCGTTGCATTAGTTCGAAATGTTTGAATATTAAAATTATTCAAAAAAGAAATAAAAGAGAACTATGCAAATTAAGTCAACGATAGACTTAAGAGGCGAACTTTTCTCGCACAGAAAACGTAAATTTATTCCATAAATGTCCAGTTAACTCTAATAATGAACGATCTGGATGTTGAAATGATCCAGATTTCCTCTAGCTCGGAATTAACAATCATGGTCCTTACTAAGATAATTTTTCATCTCAATACGCAGACGCCCCTCTCATTCTTAACGTTAAGTTCTCAAGACTTTTCCTATCGTTTTGTTCTTTAGCAGAACGTTCCTCAGACTTTTGTTCTTATTTGATCTTGCTTAATTCATTTCGTTCTCAACGGAAACGTTGTCGAAAGTTTCGTTTTCACTCTGTTCGTCTTGAGAACGTTATTGAGAGTTTTGTTCTAATTTTCTTTTTTCTGAGAACGTTCCCAAAAGGTTTATTCGCAATTTGTTCTTTACGGAAACGTTTCTGAACCTTGTGTTCTCATTTTGTTCCCATTCAAACTGCTCTCAATACTGTTGTTCCCGTTCGGTTATTTTGCGGGAACGTTCTTGATATTACATTTTGTTATTGTGCAGAACTAAACCAAAATTGGAGCACGTTCTCGGTCCCAGCTATAAAGAACCCAGTTTCTTTGTGGGATTGTTAAAAAGCTTATGCAATTCTGATCAGCGCAGGGTGGTTACCCGGGCACCATCCAATCGTGTGTTTGAATGGCCTTACCGCAATGCAGTATAATGCCCAACACCGCCGACAAATGACTACCACGCCTAATGGCTATACTTAGAGTTAGAACGTCCATTCAATCATCTTCCCTCTTTTTGCTGTTGAAAATTAAAATCATACTACTTTGCTCCCTTATGCGCACTGAAAATAAAACCTCATCAACCAATTTGCTAATGCTTTCGACTTTATTTAAAAAGAATTGTATTCATATTTTTGCCATTTTATTTATTTATTTTTCTCAACTTACACCCCCACTTGCGTCCTACCATCACCCCTTATACCAATCATCCAATATTATTGTTATTTAAATTGCTTATTGCAATACAGCGTTATAATTATTGTTTTTTTTTCTTAATAATTTCATACATTAATTCGGCTTGTTGCAGTTGCGATTTGATTTGTTTGCAAATTTTTTAATTTCATATGAATTATGGCGCAATTTTTTTATATATATTTTTTTTTGGGATTTTATTATTTACTTAAATTTGCTAATTATTGAAATCGGTCTTTTTTTTAAATAACAATGCGTTCGTTTTTCCTTCAATTTATATTCTTTATTAATCACTAATGTTGCGTATCATAAAAAAATCGTAATTGTTAATGTTTATTGTTTTTGTTATGCCATTTTTTTTTGGTATTTGCTTGCTGATGCGCTATTGTTGCCATAATTTTTAACTGCGCCAAAAAAAATGAAATACACTTTTTTCTTTGTCATACTATTAATTATAAATATGTACTTGTAAATATATATTGTATGTATTAAAAACAAGGCGAGGTTCTTAAATGATTTTTTATTCAAAATTTATTTTCATAATTTGTTCAAGCAAACTTGCGTCCGCTTTTTTAATTTCTTACTTTTTTCTACTTCTGTTTTTGCTTGCCCTTCGCTCATTTGTTTTGATTTTGCACCCTACATACAATAAAATAATGCTAATAAATTTATATTAATAAAAAATGTTTGCATTCAAGCGAATAACAGGCATTCATATGCAAACATATATTTGCCTTAATTTTGTTGTTTTTATGCTTTAATATACTTATGAAATCTCGAGCTGCTTTTTCTGCCGCTCGTTATTTGTTTTGACGATTCCTCTGACTTTTGTCACTTATGTATTTTTCCTATTTTTGTTTCTTTTCTATATTTAGTATTTTATCAGTAATTCTTTTGGCAGAGTTAAGCAATAAAAGCGAGTTAGTAATCGATTACGCGGCAACGAGTGTTCATGTATTGCTAAATTGTTGGCGTGTGTGTGTATGAATTAATGTTTCATTTTTACATTTCGACACTATATCACTTCAAGACTTTTTGCATTTTAGTAATTTGAAGAATCTACATATGTGTGCATGTGTGAGAATATGGTCGGGCTTGGGGATGCTTTGAATTTTTCTTATATATTTAAGTGAGTACGTATGTATATATGTGTGTGTCCATAGCAGGAAGTAT